TTCTGATTTTATTTGTGGCCTGAAAAACAAAGCCCATGAACTTGAAACAGACGCTGAATTGCCTATAGGGGTAACTTGCAAAGTACTGATGCTTGGAAAGTTCCCAAAAGAAAACAAAGCCCAACAGTCTTGCCTTGTTTGTAGAACTGATGGACATCATTGACTCCTAAACCTTTGCCATCTCCTTCCAAACAGCCCCCTAAAATAACAAGTACATGGGCTATGTCAAACAGTTATGGTCTTCTGGCTCTGAATCATGAGCCAGACAGGAGAGTGACATTTAGGCTCTTTCTGCACAAAAACATTGGTAGCTCAGTTTAGGGGCAGCCCTGTCAGGTACAGCTAAACTGTGCTGTTTACTTCCACTGAGGATCTAGCCTGATATCCCAAAGTGAACAATTGAAGTGATGGATCTGGAAAACAAAGAAAAGAATAAAAAGTTGCAAGTTAAATATTTGTATAAAAAGAAGATAATTAAAACAAGCAGATCCTGTAGTATAGATGCTTTTAAATGCTAGCTTGGAATAAAGAAATTGCTTGCTCAAAATTAAAAATTTGATAGTGAAATTTCACTTCACTGCTAAAGAAGTTGAACTTTTTACACATATCATAGAAAAATGTCATTATTCATTGATGCCATGCTGGACATATAGTTGCAAAGTTTAAACAAGGAAAACTTTGCAGCCTTAAGGGAAGTCCCCACAAAGAAACAGAGAGGGAAGAGGGCACCACTAAATACAATTTTGTCCAAAGACACAAAGGTGGGAGTTATTTTCCTGCTCAAATGGGAACATAAATATGGTTAATATAAGAAGTGCCATTTATTTCTACTTCTGTTTCTGAAACAGCAGTAGTGTTTCCAGTGTTGCTGCTGGTAAAATGAAGAGGCACAGCTTATGCCTTTGTAGTGTCTCCCATACCTAAAGAAAAAAAAGAGTGGTAGTGTGGATTCTCTCTACTTTTAGTAAGATTTACTACAGGCTGAACATGTGTGTTTGCTTACTAGGCTTGGTTGCCTTGTCTTGATCCATGAGAATGATTTATGCTTATCAAAAACTGTGCATTACAGTGCAACCAGTGTCCGCTGTGCCCACAGTAGTGAGCCTTCAAATGGCAAAGGTTCTTCTGCAAAGACTGGCATATGTTTGAAGGGCTGAATGCCAAAGATACAGGGCATATTTATGTGACTTGAAGCCCATCAGTCATTTGAATTAATGGGGAGCTTGATCACAGCATACTTAATTTTTATTGATTCCCCCTTTGTGCCTTCCTAGGATATGCTTGTTCTTTGTTTGGCTTTCCTTATCCTTCCTTCTTCCCCTCTGCATTTTACATTCATAAGTTTTGGAAATAATAAAGTCAACTATATAGACATAAACACCCATCTAATGAAAACAGCATGTAATAGGTATGCTAATAGAATCTATCACTCACCTGTTGTACACAATACGTGACTTTGGTAAGAAATAGGACACTGAAAACCTCATTTCTCTCTCTTGCAGCAGCATCAGCATGGATCTCTGGAGTGACTCCAAAGCAGGCAATGGAGTTACACTCCTGTAAACACTGATGGGAGACACCAGCCCTGAGAATTTCCTCTCACAGCACTCCCTCTTCCACTGCATTATGCAAATGTACTGCACGCCTTCACTGCTCTCAGCATTTCTTTTTTTCAGGCCCCATTTATACAGAATTACTGAAGTCATCTAAGTAATAACTTGAAAGAAAATAGACTCATTCAGTCAAATATTTTGAAATTGCAATTGGCCCTTGAAAAAGAGAGTGAAAGCAGGACAAGTAACAGACGGTGGCAGTGGCTTATCTTTCAGCCTATTATTTTACCACATGGGGGTCTATGCCACAGATTTTCATGCTGAAAATAAAAGAGAAATTAGTCATTGTATGACAATTTATTGGTTAAGTAGTGTTCTCTGTTGCAGTGGTATTTGCCTCCATCTAGAAACCATATGTAAGGCTATGGCTTCAAAAGAGATTCAGCTGCACGGGGGATGATTTTGTGGTGATAGACATCACATGACTTCAGAGGAAGAGAGCTGCACTATTTAGTTTGTACAGAGAAAATGAATTTTCTGGCTATGCTGAGGAGTCTATGAAAGTAAACCTGCATGCGAACACATGGTGGACTCTAATAGGAGATGATACCTTCTCTATGGGATTGAATAGAGAATTACATTGCATTCATGGGACTCTGTAGGATGGTTAAAAAGAGAAAATATTCCATCCTATGTTATTTGACAGTCTCTTAGATGGCCTTTTCCCACTGAAGGTAGGAGTGCTTTAATAAATACAGGCCTTTATAACTAAAGTCTATTCAACTATAGTAAAATTCTATAAATTTATGTATTAAATTTCAGTCAAACTTTGTAAGGTTTTTCTACAAGAGAAACACACAAAGTGTATCTATTCTATTTCTCCACTAAATGTATCCTTAAAATGCTATCAGGGTGAGATAATTTCTCCACTGGCAAACCAGAAGTAAGGCACTAAACTTGCAGTTAACTTTCCTGCTAGTTATCTTCACTCTTGTTAACTGTGTTGAGGAGAAGGACCAGCTCCAAAACACTCCTGTCTCTGCCTGACTATAGAGTGTGTTCCAGAACCCACACAAGCATAACATGGCTGCATTAGACATAATAAACTTGATTTTAAAAACAAATGTTGGGCAACACAGGCTCACACATGGTCATCACTGGAGAGAAGGTGGCCTACATGGTCCAGCTTGAGCCTGCACCAAATCCCACAGCCCCACCCATGCATGGCATGCAGAGAAAAACTCTGAGAAGAGGCCAGAAATTGGTGTGTCCATCAGCAAAACGATCTGATAATTTAGTTGACCCAAGTAGAGAAAAGAACTCTCCAAAAAGAAGATGACTAAGTGGCCAGGTTGTGTTACTAATTTATAGCAGTTTGAGATGAACTGCAGCCAGGAGGACTTTAATTTATTTTTTGCTCCTTTAACTCGCTGTTCACCTCTTACCTATCAAACTGTCAATAAATCCCTTAGTGCCTCATCATTGGTGTCCCTGCCTCAGCATGCTATGAATAAGAGAAGGGAAAGGCACTGCTATCCTCTAGACACTATTGCTGAGAAGCACAATCTCTTTCATGCTCTATTGTTATTTTGGTACATTGATTTTGTATATAGAAACAAAGTAGATTTTGTATTGTGTTTCTAAAACACAGCTCAGGTCTGTAAGAGGGACAGAATCCCTAGCCCTGTTACAGACCTGAGCGTTACTACCATCTGAGCTCTTGTTTTGCAGAGTTTGGGCTCAGCCTAACCATGGCTAATGCTCTAAAATGCCTCTGTGAGGCACTGCCAGGGCCAGTCTCATAACAACACTATACATATAACCAGCTCTCCTTAGTGGTTTGGAGGTGCATGCCCATGTAATGGAGCAGGGGCAATGAGAAAGCTGGAGGTCAAAAGTAAGCATGAAATTCTGAGAGGCTAAAGAAAAGCAGAGGTGAAAGTTGCACCTCTGAAAAATTTTTTCCCTTTGTGTCCTTCATTCCATCTTTGCAGAATTTTCTTTGATATCTGCACATTTTCCTGTGTGTGCATAGTAGGAAAGAAATATGCACCATTTGATGATATATTTCATGCATGAAGTGCTGACAGTTAATGTAGGGATCTATCACAATTTACAGTGCTGCAACAGGCCTCAGTGAGCAGATCTTCCTAAAACGTCTCTGTCTACCCTTTCCCTACAGACAGGCAGAGAACACTTTTAAACTAAAATTACCTGAATAGAAGGAAATTTAAGAGAAAGTCCAAAGAATAAAATTTAAAAAAAAAAAAATAGAAAAATAAATTAGTCACTCCTTATAAAATCATTGTTCAAATTAGCCTGCTGTTGTGGTTAGTGGTTGAAATAGCCATGGCTATACCCTCTTTTCATTTCACTTTCTTTTAACACTGACCCCTATGTCAGTGTGTTTGATCAGATTGTGTGTTACTAATCAAGGTGTAGACAGACCTCTGACACTGTCCTTCAAATCAAGGAGTGCAAGTGAGTTGAACCATAAAATGGATCCAATTAAAATAGTTTGGGACAGAAGCTTTAAGATTAATCAGAGAAGTTTTTTAGTGTTTCTTTTTTTTTTCTTCCATCCCCCAGATCAATGTTCTTGTCATTTGGCATTTCTTGGACCTCTGTGTTACCTTTAGTCTCTTTTCGAACGCCAGTAAAAATTTTACTCTGTGAATTCAGGTAGAGATGTAAGTATTTAGTATACTATAATCCTAAAGAAGCTCTAATCTTGACAAACAAACATGAAACACAAGCTTTAGTTTCAATTTAAGAAGAAAAAAAATTGTAGCTAGACATCACCTTTTTAGTACTTATCAGTTTAATATGGACAGTCATATTTAACTGATTAAAAATATGATACCACACAGAAAGTCTGATCTGTTGATCATACTGGTGGTGTCTTTCATTTCCCAATGGAACACTCAAATGTTACTGCAAATCTTTCCCTCATATTTTTTGAAGGACTTGATCGTACAAAACATGACTTCAGAAAGTGTCTACACTGAACCTGCCTCCTGGTTCCTAGAGAGCAGGAAGGAAGGAAGGAAAGAATGTGTTCGCTCAACACAAAGTTATATTTTGCTCACATTTCAATTCAAGCCTTCCTATTGTGTTTGTGAAACATACTGAAAAGGCAAAAGCTGAAATTACAGTCTTATCATCAAAACAGGCTGATTCGGGGTTTATATGCAGCTAATTGCTTACTGTTTAACCTACTTTTAGCTACATCCCCATATGCAGCCTGTTTCAGTCTCTAAATGCTTTCAAGTCATTTGGGGAATATTAATTTGTCCCTCAGCCCAGAAGGGTGCCCAATCGTTGGGTCAGCTGTTAAGAATGGGAGAATAGTCATTAGCACCAGGCAGCTTGCTTTCTTCCATTTGATCAGATTACAAATGATTAATCAAAAGTAAAGACAGTTCCTCATGTTTGAGGAGAGCCCACACTGTCTAACTCAATACATGCCTTTTGTGAAGTACCATTTGTCTTTATTATGTTTTATTTATCCAGTAGCAGTCCCTGAATGAATTAACTTATACTCTGCTTTAACTTGTGCCATCAGAGCTTGTAGTTCAAGCAGGAACACACAGCCCCTATATTATTTAGGCAAGTAAAGTTTATTATTTCGCATTTATAGAGCCTTGGTTCTTCTCTGTGCCTTGTAATCACAGAGGTCTTTTACCAGCACAAGCAGGAAATGAACTCACACCCATTTCTAACAGAATCCAGATTTACAGATTGAACGTGAAATTACAGCTTCTGCAGCTCTAGAAGAATATATTGTGACTTTCGTCCTGTTACATTACAGTGTATTTTAAAGCCCTTATGGACAGTCTGACAGCTTCTAGAAATCAGTGTATCACTCTCAAATCCAAATGAGCTTCACTTGTTAACAGTTTGTTGAGGACTTGGCCTCTTCTGCTTCCAGAGCAATACATTTAGTGTGCTCCATGATTTTGGAGCACATGCTGCTGATGGTTTCAAATGTGTGTTCCTGAGTTGCTCAGTCCATTTGAAACTCTCAACTCCTGAATCAAAAAGAAATAAAGGAAACTAATGCACCAGGTTGTACTTGTTTATCACTGCCAAAGTAGAATAATCACATTGCCAATAATTGAAGTTCCCCTGGACGGACAGTAGTGACATTTAGAAGACAGGTGCTTTCCAATCTGGATGCTTGGAAAATCAAACAAGTGGGCAAAAATGCTTCCATGTTTCAGGAAGTCTGCTTCCCATCAGTATCCCATCTTGATAGAGGCCCCTGATTATAGCTCTCTGGGAAACTTTAGTTAGTTAAAAGTTCAAATACCTATTAAGAATTTCAGCTGGGCAGCCAATATGCAATTTTTCTCTACAGAAATGCAAGCCATGGGGCAAAAGCTCAAGAAGTCTTTGCTTGCTTCCTCTTCCTACTCCACAATCATACATGAGTACAATCAACACTTGTTCTTAATGAGGCTGTAGCTGCCCTAGAGTGAGGAAACGTGCTGGGTGGAAAGCTCAGCATCAGCACTCATGCTGAGACCTGGAGCTGGCTTTACACATCTCCACCCTCCCAAGAATGGGCACATTGCATTTCAAAAAGTCCACAGTCCTTAAGGGTTTCTGACCCATGCTGTGTGAAAATGAAAGATGCATTTTCTAAGTACAGGCTCGCTCTCGAAGGAGCATGAAGGTCAGTTGCTGTGTGCAGCTACTTCAGTAAATCAGAATGGTTTCCAAGGGTGTCCAGCTCTGTTAAAGCCCTTTTGTGGATACTTCTGGAATAATACCACAGAGAAAGGCAGCATCTTACACGAGGGCTGTGATCCTATAAGTGTTGCTGCTCAGAATACACCTATGTGGAAGCACTTCTGGGGAAGAGAACTTCAGTTTGTACCTCAGTAACCAAAATCTCTAGGTCTCTCTGGGCTTCACCTGATGTAGTAGATGGAAGAATGAGAGAATGTTTGCCAAAATACATGATTTTTGTTTTTTCCCATCTGAAGTCATAAAAGAATAGCTACATGATAATTTAGGGGACTAATTCAACATGATATTTCTCTTCATTTACCTCACTGAGTCCTGTTAGTAGCACCTCGGACCTCAAACTTTTGTTCTTTAATAGTCAAAAGTTGCAAAAAAGCAACATAAGGAAAAAAAAGCCAATTTATCTTTCAAGGCAATGATTCACAGTAAAAATAGCTTTCATCTATCTGCCTCTTGTGTTAATGTAAAAATCTAATTTTCTAACTTTAAATTCACTCTGAATCCTGCCTCTTTAAGCTCTGTAAAATTTCTGTTGGTGACCTCTACTTCTTGCATAATTGCTGTTAATAAAAAGCTTGAAAAAATGTTAATAAAAATCTTGAAATGCCTCACTGAATTGGAAAGCTATTTAAATACTTGCTATCAAGCCCAAAGTTTGAAATTCCCTTTGTCTTTTGTGTACTTGGGCAAGTCTTCAGTGGAGCTGTCTTGCTTTGAATGATTTTGTGCAGGTTTGGATGAGTGCAGAAGATAGCCCAGAAGATTTTCTTTTCCAGACTGGAACTGGAGCAAATTGAGCTTCTGTGGAGAATTAAGGCTTGAGTCTTTGATCTGTATCTGAAAGCTTTTCCTAGAACTGATTCCTATAGCTTCTCAAGAGGTGGACTGGTGGAGAATGTACCCCTTTTCATAGAAATGAAAAAATCAGGAGTGACTAGAGAAGTAAAAACTCCTTATTTTGAAAGAAAAGGATACCTCAGGAAGGAGGAGCTGAAGAACTTGTTTTTGTTCAACTGTGTGTCCAGACAAGATCACTGGAAGCTGGCTGGGACAGAGGAGAGACTCCCATTTAATTGAGTTCTTTAATTGTCTGAAATGATTCAGAGAAAAAAATATGAACACTAAAAGAAAGAGTGAGGACATCTCTGAGGACTTTGCCCTAAGCACAAAGGTGCTCCGCTTTGGTGAGAAAACAGAAAGAAATGTGCCCATTTTATGGATACTCGGCCTTATACCTCACATGTGACTGTCATCTGTAGATGATGGTTTCTTTTTGCTAGCTTCAATGTAGTGCACTATACTATTCTATGTTATACTGTCATCTACTAGAAGTTTTTAGCTTTTATACTGTGTTGTAAAATAATTCTGATTGAGATCTTTTGTCCGTTCATTTATCATAATAAATAATTCATTTAATATAAATAGATCTGATTTGCCATCATTAAAACCTGTCAGGCAACGTGGTTCAATCACACCTTATAATTCCTTAAATTTAAACCACTGACAAAATCTGAAGCTGATAAAGGTTTTAACTTGACCTTAAACTCCTTTCTGGAAAAGAAATACATTTTTGCCCCTGTGGATTTTGAAATACATGAGCTTTACATATCATTAAAGGGGGTGGGCAGATTAAAAGAGTTGAGCAATTATTATTTTTAAGTCTACTTTTTAACATATCTCAGGTATTTTGAGGCTTGATATACAGTTGGGGTTTTTTAAATGTTTTGAGTTGATGGTGACACGTTTGAAACTCCTGATACATCAGGAGTGTGGAAACAGGAAGACATGAAAGGGTCAGATCCTGCCTTTTGCATGTTTTGTGTATCTGGAGCCATATTGTGGAAGTAAAAGGAATTACTTCTGTTAAACAGGAGGTATTCTGGCCTCTGGATTTCGGGGAGAGTTTCTGATCTCAAATTTCCTTTATGTCAGCTCATGTAACCATAATTACCAGGCACCGGTTTCTCTTATCCCAGTTCCCTATCCAACATCTGCACAGAACTCTGAAATCCCAAACTTATCGGTGTGAATCTGTGCAAGTACTCTGGTTGTGGGAATTTTTTTTTTTATGTGGGGGATTTATTTCTCTTTTTTTCTGATCAGGTGCACAGCACACGCCTGGTTCCCACAACTGAGAGGAAGCAGATTCTTGCTTTTCACTCTCCTGGGCAGTAATTACAATTTGTCAGGAATTAAGCTGATTTTGTAACTCAACATTTCCCCATAGCACAATTGTGTAACACCTATACAAATATTTGTTCCTGTTAAATGCTTGGGGAAAAAAAAATACAAAAACCCCATAACATTTTAGTGGAGGCCAGAATTGGCATAAAGTAGTCATAGGAAAAAACCCTTTTATTTCCCCCGTCCTAGAACATTGTACAAAATTCATTGAAATTGTCAGTAAGACTTCCATTGACTTTTGTAGGAATAATTCCAGATCCTAAATATATATAGTTCAGTATGGATGTTGTATAAACATTGATAATCTATTTATATATTCAGTTGGCATAGTAAAGGTACAAGATTGTCATCATTGTCCAAGTATAAATCTTGGGGCATCAACACAGACTTCACTTCCTGTGCTCCTCCAATCATGGATTTCTGATTACAAGTCTGATAAAGGAATGAAAGTAATTTTTTCTGATTAACTTGGTACTGAATCTTCTTTATACCATCTTTTATACTGTGTCAAACAGTCACAAAGGAGAGGATAACAGAGAGATAAATCTGTAGTGGTTACCACTTTCTGGGCCTTTTTTAAGTCCTTAAGGAGAAGCATTTAGAACAGAACAAAAGCTGTGAAAACTGGTAGTTGCCACCCAGGATTTCTGGTGTTTTAGTATTATTCAAATCCACTGCAGATAGAAAATCCACAGAGATAGAAAATAGGATTGTAAAGCAAGTAACTATGACTTTTTTCACATTTTCTTTTAAATTTCATTTGGAAGGAAAAAAGGCCAGGATAAGAAATATTTTAGGAAATATTTTTGATTGAATATTCATGGATACTGGTGGAAAATTATGGGATTATTAAAATATCTATTTCTGTTGTATGGAAATAAGACCATCAGATGCGTGTACCCATCATGAAGCAATGCAAATGAAATGACTGTCAACTATTTACAAAGTGATGGCTCTTATTGAATCTGTCACTCTTACTAACTCCCTGCATATTCCACCCCTCCACCTGTCTTGTGGTGCCCTCACAAAACAGGCAGAAGTGTAAACTAAAAAACGGAAAAAAAAGGTTCATGAAGACTGGGATTTTTGTCCATGTTTTGACTGGACTGGATGAATTATTTGAAACATTGCATTTTGTTTAGTGATATTTCAAGATAATCCATTTAAGTGGAAAAAAAATCTTACTTCTATTTTTTTTTTTTGAGCACTTACTCATTTGTATGAACTTTTTGGTTTTTAAGAGTGTCTCCTTTTTTTTTTCCCCATGTAAAATGGAAAGTAATGTTAGCTTCCCAGATTACGTGATAAAAGTGTTTTATTTTCTTGTGTCCCACTCATCCTGTGATCTTCTAGGTCCTCATAAGAATCTGACTGCAGAGTGTTCATGCCTCAAGTCAGGGCACACAGAAAACAGTCTTAGTGTAGTCTGCATCTTTTTTTTTGCTTAAGGAACTAAGATATTTGCAGATCTAACACCTTTTCATGGCAAGCAACGTACCTAGTGATACGTGTTTTTTACTTGACTCAGGAGTCAAAAACAAAAGAGAAGAGGTATCCAGTGGTGGAACAAACAAATTTCTTGATGTTCGGAGGAAATTTCCATTAGGAAATTTTGAAGGAAATGAGAGCCATAAAGCCAAACCAGAGAAGAACATGCCAGGAAAGTTTTGTCATGTGGGAGGTACCAGGGACCTTAAAGATCATCCAGTTCCACCCCCTGTCACAGGCAGGGACACCTTTCACTAGACCACATTGCTCCAAGCCCCATCCAAACTGGCGTTGAATACTTCCAGGGATGGGGCATCTACAAACTCTATGAGCATCCTGTGCCAGGGCCTCACCAGCCTCACAGTAAAGAATTTCTTCCTAGCTTCCAATCTAAACCTGCTCTCTTTCAAGTCTGAAGCCATTCCACCTTGTCCTGTCCCTTACATGATCCTTCATCTGCTTTATTTCAGAACCTAAATTTGTCCATTGGGTTCCAAGCAAAATAAAACTGAGATTCACTTTAGATTTGTAATTTTACAGTGCAGCTGGAACTTTATGCTTTTGTGTCAAAAGAAGCCTGAAGGTAATGGTATGTTAAATTGTTCCCCTGAAGCCCTTTTGGTCCATAAGAGTCACATGAAGCCACGATCCTTTACATGTGTCTGCATGCACAGAGCCTACAGAAACAGGAAGAAATCAAATACACAAAGCTGGGTTTTGGTTAACCTTAACTGGAAAAAAAAGTGGATAAAACCAACAGCATTCTCAAACACAACACAACAGCTAGTCGCAAAAATCTAGGGAATCAAAACCAAATCAGAATTTTTAAATCAAATAAATAGAGATGCTACCTATTTGAATTCCAGCTATTAAGCAGTACATTTCCAAGTTTATTCAACAGCCTTGAGGGTAATATAGCAAATATGTATTTTACTGTGTTTTGATAATTTCTGCAAAAAAAATTTCTTCTGGGTTATCTACTGAACTCTGTCCAGGTCCTTGGTGGAAAACCTCTTGCAGGTTGTCTCCATTTCACTTCTGCATCATCGACCAGCTTGCTTCTAAGTAAAAAAGATGATTGGAATTTGCAGGTACATTAGTTATTGGTGATTTTACGTTGCTGAGAAGCCAGACTTTGACAGTTATAAACAGATGCCACTCTAACACATTTGGTTGTACTCAAAAAGTGGAAATGTTGTTTTTTCTTGATTAAAATAGCAATAGTAAAACCATAGCTTTACTGTGAGTAGTAAAACTGATCCATTCACAGTCAGGAAAAAAAATTAATGATCAAACTATTCATATGTTCGTTCAATAGCAATATTTTCTACTTAGATCAGTTAGTTAACAGCACTCGGTGCACATGTTGAGCAGAAATGAAGTTGGACTGAGGATGTTAAACCTGTGATTATTCATCAAGCATAACCTTCACCTGGACTTTCAGGGCCAAATTCAGTGGGTCTGCAGACAAAGATTGTACTGTGTGAGAAATATTGTTTTTCCATCCTTTGGGTGTGAAAAAAGAGGTCAGATGTTCCATATAATAATGTCTGAATGCAAAATTTTAACTTCTGAAAATTTTTGTGCTGTAGTAATTTAAAAGATAGATACCTATGAGCTTCCAAATTGAAAGTGACCCAGACATAAACTGTGGTGCCTCAGTTAACTACAGTCTTAATTAAAGCTTGACTGTGTGCAGAAAAACTAAACTATAAAATATTTTTTAAAATAAAATAACCACTACCATCTAATGTTTGAAGGTTGTTATAGTGATTGGTAATGCTTTGCAATAATGTGTGTGCCTCTCTGCCTTTTCAGTAATAAATGGATTGCATAAATGACAGAAGCTACCATAACCTGGTGAGTTCATTATGGAATTATATCTTTAATTCACGTGCAACACTAATCATAGGAAGAATGTTCATACTGAAGCTGCTTGAAAAGAATGGTAACGTAAAAAGCTTTTTTTTTTAAATCCATTGATACTTTATTCTATATGAACTCATCGCTAGAAGACATAAAAAAATCTTTAAAAATCAAGTTACACAGGCAACAAGACCAGAATGTGCACAGAAATCTAAGTTTTGATTTATTTCTTTTTAATTAGTGAGTGCTTTGTGGCTTTGTTTAGTACAGTGAAACAAACCATATTTGCCAGTGTTTCCCCACTTAATGTAGGAAAGTCCATGTTCTGAAGCATTTAAATCAATCTAATTGCCTTTGACATGTCTACTGCTTTTCTTTTTTTTTTTTTCTTCAGGATCTATTTCTCCTTTTGGTACCCGATTCTTCCTATGTCTCTATTCTCTCTGGCCTTCATACGACCTTTCTTACTGTTTTCAACTTCCTTTTCTTTTCATCAATGAAATTTCAATGGAAAATGTTGTTTGAATCACAAATTTAACTCCAGTGAACAATGAAGTACCAGATACCACAAGGTTATGGGCATGTCTACTTTACAGACATGGGACAATGATGATGTAGATGTCCACAGTAGCTGTGAGCTGCTTGGGTAACAACACAGGTTTATGCACCACATGGGTCAGCATGAACTAATGCAACCAACTCCTGCTGCATTGGTGCACAATAAAACCAGCAAACCCTTCTTTTGTGAGATGTAATTTTGAGGATGCCTGTTTAGATCAGGATCCTGAGACTTGGAAGATCACTGCCAGAGAAAAAAACAAAATCTTCTCTCTGGTGCACAGGTATTTGTCAGCCTTTAGGCATGAGTTGTCTTTCTATTCTGTCTAAATCCTGAAGCAGCTTTCCCTGTCCGAGGAGGCCGCCTGTGCTGGAAGAGCTTTTGGTTATGATCTGGATTCACACTTTGTGGAGATTAATTAAGTGAGGAATGGATACCCAAGACATTTATAATTAAGGCCTTAAGTAAGTCATAAACCAGGGCTCCAAAGATGAAAGCTCACTGCTTGACTGATTCACTGAATCACACATTCCCTCTTGACCACTGTTTTAAGAGCATAGTCTTTGCCAACTCCTTGCACATGCTCAGAGAATTATTTACTTCAGAGCTCCTGGCATTATCAACATCACAGTATTTTTTCCCAAGCACTGCTCACATTAAATTCTTTGAACTTGCATCACTTCATAAGGTCTGGTTCGACGTTTTAGACCTGCAAGTAGGTGTTTTGCATATTGAAGAACTTAATCTCATTCCCAAATCTTGCTGACTCCTGGGGTTCCCCACATGAAAGATATTCTCCATCAGCTTTTCAGATGCTTCTGTTTTCAGCCTGGAAAACTATGATGACTTTATGTGGGATCTAAGAGGGAGTAAGTTACTTTGAATCTTAGTTTTCTGCTACAGGTTAGGCA